CATAAATTTCGAGTTAAGAAATTTACTTGAAATGATGAATTCCAAAATCTTTTGATAGTTGAATCACCTTGCATTCCAAAGCTCCAAAGTCTGCATTTCTTGTTCTCCAATGGTCCCAATCCCGATCACAATGGAAGGAGATTATTATCCACAATCTAAGTGTCAATTTTTGTGAGATTTCATGCCCAAAATATGGTTTTAAGGACTTTTCAATTTTGGTGTGAATTTTCATACGAATTTTCCCTTCATTTTTCATGCCATCTTTGTTCCTATTTTTTCAATGCATAATCATTGGAGGTTGTATGGAAGTTAAGGGTGGTTATATGGAGTTGCATGTTTGAACTTCAAATTCAAATCACTCCCTCCAACCATTTTAATAACTTGTGGGTCGGGTCATCACATATGAGCAATCCACAATCCGTATTTTTCTAACAAAGGTATATGAATTTTTTTCACTTGAGGAGTCTCCTCTTTTCCATTTAATTTCTCTCTTCAGTTTAATGTTGAAAGAAGAAAATAAATTCTAGTAGTGTGAAAACAAAAAGGATTCAAAAGGAGGAGCCAAGAATAAACCGGGAAGTGTCCTATTGAGATATTGGGGAAAAAATTTTGGTACTTTCGAGATATATCCATTAACACACACTTACAAGTTACAACTACCTTAATTCTATCAAGCCTTAATGCTCCACTAGACCCCTGACCCCACCCCAAAATTCCTGCACCTCCTTGCACCGGCAACGCGTGCTACCTGACTCTCGCTAGGTCCCAGTATTGTTTCTTCCATCATTTGCTTTAGGTAGGTCCCATATTATATATGAGATTATGGACTTGTATATAGGGTTTTTGAAAATATTTTCATAAAATTATTAAAACATGTCAAAAATATTTTCTAAATCTTAAAAATAATTTGTTACAAGTTTGAATAATTATATGAAAATATTTAATTTAATTAAAAGAAATCTAAGATAACTTTATCTAAAAAAATTATTTTACGAACAATACAAATTTAACCCCTTCCCGAAATAAATGGAGTTGTAACATCTAACCAAATCGCACATGCCATGCTACTATGGGGTGTATGTTTATTTAAATTCCAAATATTTATAACAAAAGTCAATAAATACGGCCCATTTATTAATATTTACGTAAAGATAAAGATTAATTGTTCTTTAATCCAATCCTCATCCACATGAGGTTACATCAATCATTGTACCATAGCTTGGATTATTTTTATATAGGGATCAATTTGGCTCAACAAGACTCGTTAAGATTATGAGTATGTTTGAACCACAATTTTTTGTTCAAAATATATTTTGAAATAGTATTATGATGGAGAATGTGTAATTAAAAAATAAGGAAAAGTTTTTAATTTGCGTATAATGTTATTTCATTAAAAAATAAGTGATTGAAAATAAGAGAGAAAAATATATTTTGAAAATAATCGGAACCAAACAAGGGCAACGGCTAGACTTCAAACAAATTTTTGATATTTATTTATTATTTATTTTTTGTTAAAACTCGCGTAAATAAATGCAAGAAAATAAAACATAAATGAAATTTTCTGCGTATAAAGATCAAATTTAAATTTTGCAGATTCTAGTACATTAAACGTTAACCTTCGAAAAATAGTTTTGTTCTACTTAAACTATGATCGACAGCTTTATTTACACCATTTGATATGATATACATTTTTGCTATTGATTTTAACACCACCTATTCAAATCAATGATATCGATTTTAACACCTCAGGTGGTGTCATGTACTACTAGTTTAATTCTTCCAAAAATGCAATTTCTGGTGCGTGAGCCAATTTCGCATCTCTTTCCATTCAAATATGTCCCTCTAATTCACACAAACCTTTTATCTTTGTACATAGTGTTAGAAAATTTTACTAGTTACAATACAGTAAAGTGCAGAAATAAAATCTTATCGACTAATCGAGTCTCGTGACAACACGATATCCTAAAGCGAAATTGCTCGTCGATAACTGTTGCGACCACTGTGGACAATCACCTCCAAGATACAACGATTAAATAAACCAATTGTGCAGCAATCACAAATGATTTTCAGAACTCTCAAGTGTACTCCAAAAAATATGTAAAATAGAGTATAATATTTTTTCTGAATATGAAAATACAATTTCGTTTTTTGTTGTATGTTTCTAATGTCCAGATGTGTGTTTATATAAGCAGAAAAATCACATAATTGTCTCCACCATGATTCAGTATTTATTTGTAATTTTATGGCTAGTGATAATGGGTTGTTAATACTGGACAGTTAAAAACTGTCATATTTTTGGCTAATTGTCTATTAAAGACTTTTAATATAATGAGTGAGGTGTGACTCGAACCCCTGACCTCTCACACAAATTCCACACTTTTCACTAATTGGGCATTTAGCCCTCGTTTGACACCCATTTTGTTTGAAAAATAATTTTTGGAATCGTGATTAATGGAAGATTGTGTGGTTAAAAAGTAAGAAGAATCTTTGAGTTTATGTGTAATATTATTTTATTAATAGGATGTGTGGTTGAAATGAAGAATGAGAAATAGAATGAGAAAAAAATGGGTGTCAAACATGAATTTAATTTGAATTAATTATTTCTTTCACATATTATATTTATAGTATAAATATCTAACACATAGTTCTATGCCTACAATAATTTAAAATTCTTTAATGATAATATTATCTCGAGATCCTATGATGGTCATCAACTTTTGGATTATTCCATGAATGTTCTCACTTAACGTACGGTCAAGATCCAATTGTACGCCACCTTCATGTCTCCCTCACTGGTAAAAACGGATTTATGTATATACACACATACATATCCAGTAAGGTCTATATATATATATATATATAATTGAGGGGACAACTGTTGATGGCATATAGAATTCCTTGGTGCATGTGATTCACTACGTTGTTCCATCGACGATTTGTCTAAATGGCCCTTGTGATCCAAAAATATATAGATTATTATAGATTTGTCTAAAGGGCCCTTGACGATTTATGTAGTATTTGCAGTGCTGGACATGTCTGGGCATCTCTTCCACAAAGCTTAAATCAGATTGGCTAAGGCACTGGGATTTGTTTGGCATGCCCTCATTAAAACCCATACGCTACAAGCAATTTCTTTGATATCTGTGTATAGATACAGATTCTTAAATTATTCTTCAGCTGATACATCTACCAAAGGGGATGTGAAAAAAAAAAATTGCAGCTGAAATTACAAAGGATAAGTGGTTACAACTGAGATTCAGGAGTTCCTTATAAGGTAAGTAAACTTACAGATTCTTAGTTAAGAACAAAAAATATGAAATCTTTGGTTTTGAAACTTGGTTACCGTATCTTCTTTACATTTTCTTCTTCTCGAAGGTATATAATACACCAGATGAAACAAATCTTGCTTGATTTTTATGAGTAGATGATACTAGAGACGTGTATCGATCGGCCTAATTATCGATATTTTCTTTTGTTTGAGAGTCATAAAGATTTAGATTTTAAGGATGTCATATAACGTGACTTGTTTTTAGACCTATTCGTGATTTTTGAGTCAAATCGGCCAGTCCGATCCAATTCTAACAACATGGATTTCATTTTTCTAATGAATCGAGCATATTTGTTATGTAAACTCAATGAAAAATATCCTAGTCAGTACGTGCTAAAGACGGATCACTTTCTTATGAAGATGATGCGAAGCCATGATGAGAGATATTTTCATATGTGAGTAATTATCGTGGCCCAAACATTATGATACCTTGTAAGGAAAAACGGTTAATAATTACCTTGAAAAATCATGTGGACTAAAACTATCATGGCCGCCTTAGCTTGGTATATGCTTTGATTGCTGTCTTAATTTATTATTTAATACTATTTTTCTGCATGTACAGGACGAGGCATATAAGAAAGGCTAATATCATCTCAAATTGACTACACAATCCTGATGAAGATCCAAGCACTTTAAGAGTTCAAAAATCTTTCTATTTTTGTTTTTTCGAATTTTGATGGAGAAGCTTCTTGATTCGTATGACAGGGAATACATGAAAATGGCCATGTTGAAGCACGAGGAAATATTTCGAGAGCAGGTAGTCTATGTTTATGTCTTTTCTAAAATCTATTTTACGGCTCAATTAGTGTTATAATCTTCAAATTAATTTTCCAGGTTCGCGAACTTCATCGTCTCTATCAAATTCAGAAGATGCTTATGAGAGACACTGCCAAAAATAGGCGAAACATGCAGGATTACTTGATTCATTCCAATAAGCTCAATGATGATGAAGATATTCGCACAAAGGCCATGAAATGTCCAGACTTGGAACAGCCTGCTGGAGAGTTCATAGCAGAATCAGATGACAGTAGAGTGCTCGAAATTGAAGATTACAATGATCTTGAGCTGACAATAGGCCTGAAAAGCTATTACACGAGAGGAAAAGCTACTGAAACATCACCGGAATCAGGTTCCTGGCCGAGCATTAATTCTTCTTCCTCCACTGGATCAAACCATGTAAAGAGAACAAGAAAATATGCAAGAGAAGAATCATTAAACCAGCAGAAATGGGGACTAGGGATTCCTGTATCAAATCTTAATTTCCTTGGAGGAAGGGAAAATAGTTCTGAGGTGGAAGAACATTTGAGAAAAGATAGATTAAATGCTCCACCTTGGTTTTTCCAGGTTTTAAGCCTGAATATGAGATGAGAAAAGGGAAAAAAATTTCATCCCATGTCAGTACAATAATGTCTGTAAACTTCCTATTGTAGTCTTATTCTGTGAATATTGATCGGATTTTATTTTCTAGTTTTTACTTATAATGGGATTCTTTTTCGCTGACTTGTTTACTTGCTGTTACTATTTCCCCCATAATTTTTTAATCAACCATAGGACTATCCGTGGGTCGGTTCGATTCGATTCTAAAGAGATCCGAACCGACCCAAAACTTTCGGGTATTTAATAAATGGACCCGTCGGGTCCAAATATAATTATGGAACCGTTCGGGTTCGGTTCCGTTCGGTTCGGTTCGGGTCGGTTCGGTTCCGTTCGGTTCCTTTTTCGGGTATTTAAAAAATGGACCCGTCGGATCCAAATATAATTATGGAACCGTTCGGGTTTGGTTCCGTTCGGTTCGGTTCGGTTCGGGTCGGTTCGGTTCCGTTCGGTTCCGTACCATAATTAAATTTTTTAATATTTACAGCAACACTATATGAATACAACTAATGACATTTCATTCGTAACTTTTACAAATTAACGTAGCCCAATTCAAAAACATATAAATAACTAGCCGTCCAATAAGATTAATTCAATGCATACAAATGCCAAAAAGTAGATATTAATATTACAGTAACACTACATAAAGTATAATCATTTGTTTCAAATTAAAATGGGTTAATGGGTTTTTAAAATGATTTGGACTTTAAAATTAAAATTATGAAATAATCTGATTTATTTAATTAATTTGCTAATTTGTTTAGAAAAAAAATAAAATAATTTAATTAATTTAATATAAAAAATAAAAAAATAAATTAGTATCGGTACTAGGTCTAGACAAGAGACCCGACCCAAACACCTCAGTTCTCGATTCAGATACCCGTTCGGGTATTAAATTTATGAAGAACCGCTCGGTTCG